TGCTCCTGGCAGTCCTGGCAGAGAGGGCGCGGGCTGAGGCGCGCGCGCGAGGCAGCTGGACGGCATGAAGGCTTTCGTGGACCGGGATCTCGACGGGTGCGTGGGGGAGACTGCCAGAGGTGCGCACGAGGCCGCCCGGGCGTGCAGGGTGGGCGCCATGCGGAAGCGGTTGGAGCAGACGAGCCAGGGCCGGCAGGGGGCGCGTCCGCCTCCAGGTGTTGCCGCCGATGATGGTGGTGATGCTCATGGCGGTGAATGTAGTGATTTTGGTGGTGTTGATGGTGATGATGATGCGGAGGATTATGGTGATCATTGTGCTGATGATGGGGGGTGCATGTGGCGGTAGCAGCGAACATCGTGACTTTGGTGATGGTGGTTGTGATCATGGTGAGGATGATGGTGGTACTGGTGCTTGTGGTTGCTTTGGTGACGATGGTGGTGCTGGTGGTTGTGGATGCTGCGGTGATGACGTTGATGGCAACGAGAATGATGAAGACGGGGGTGGGCATGATGATGATGATGATGATGATGATGATGATGATGATGATGATGATGATGATGATGATGATGATGAAGATTGTGATGCTGATTATGCTGCTGATGATGCTGAGGACGATTTCGACTGTCGATATGATGTTTGGATTCGTGGCGATGGTGATGACGACGATGATGGGTGTGACGAAAATGCGGATGATGATGAACATGGGCGGAGGGGGATGATGAGGATGATGCTGACGATGGTGATGGTGATGCTGATGGTGGTGATGTTGTTGATGATGCTGGTGGTGGCGCTGCTTTTGCCGATGATGTTGATTCCGTGGATGATGCTGATGCGGGGGATGATGATGAATGCGATGGCGATGATGGTGGCGATGGTAATTGTGATGCTGATAAGTGTGATGTTGTGTGATGATGAAGAGGAGCAGATGGAGGCGTGACGAGTAGGAGGAGGTGGAGGAGGAAAGCAAAACGTGGAAACAGGAGGAGCAGCGGCTGAATGGGAAAAGGTGCTTGGGGGGAAGGGAAGGAAGAAGAGCAACGACTCGGGGAACTCCACTCTATATATTATCCATGCTCACCGCGCCCTCAGATGTGTCGGTCGGGCGCTTGCGCTGGGCGCTTCGCCCGAGATGTCCTCCCCTTCCATGTCTGTGACCGTGCAGCAGGACGGAGCAGGGAACGCGTACAGTGAGCGGCTTGAATAAGGAACACTTGCTTTTCAAAAGGGGCTCGGTCGTTCCTTAGGTTTTACATGCGTTATTTACTGTTCATTATGCGTTATTGATTATTTATCGTTTCTTATGTGTTATTCCTTGGGATAAAAAAGGGGCTTCGTTCCTTATTTATCGTTCCTTAGGTCAGGCCGATGACTGTAGGGAACGAGGAGGCCGGAGGGCGCGAGGAGGCCTCCCAGCGTGCCCAGGAGTCGGCTCCGGCGTGGCAGCGGGCGGCTAGACTAGCGCGCGGCGCGGCCGGCATCGCCTTCGGTCCGGGACGGGGCGGGGGGCGAGTGGCATAATGATTAGTTCTGCCCACCGAGCGCGAGCCAATACTCGCAGAGTGCCTGCTCGCAACTGTCCGAGAGACATCGGCTTGCTTCGGTGTATAATGGATCGGCAGCCCCCCGCGGCGGATCCGGGCCATCCGCGAGCAGTAAGTCTGCGAGTCGTGGAGCGCGCTCGTTTTGGCTTGTTTTCTGCGCGCGGCCACGAGCAGCTGCCGGTGGTCCTCCTCTCCGCCGACGCGTTCAGCCCGTTGAGAGCGAGCCTGGCCCTGCCCCCATCCCAGTATTCGGTTGCACCCGTGGATGCATAATTTTTGATCCACAGCCCTTGTGGTCCCGAGGCCCCCTGTGGCCTCTGGAGCCGCTCTGCAGCGGGGCTCCTAGGCTGAATCCGTAGCCGAGACCTCCGCGGAGCTCCGGGCTGATGGCACTGGGTCCGAAAGTCGTTGCTGCCACGTCCCCCCCTCAAGGCTCCTCCTCCTCCTCCTCCTCCTCCTCCTGGTGGTTCAAAGATGAGGTCCTGAAGGATGGGGTCCTGAGGACGAGGTGCCTCAAACAATGCGAATCCATCCTTGGATCCCATCCCTCAGGATCCCCTCTTTGAACATCCTGCTCCTCCTCCTCCCTCCTCCTCCTCCCTCCCACTCCCCCTGCCCCTCCCCGTCCTCCTCCTCCTCCTCCTCCTCCTCCTCCTCCATGTAACGTTAGACTAACATTAGGGCTGATGCCTGCTGCGCTCTTGAATATGTGCAAAACATGCGGTAACATACAGAGCAGGCCCCGGAACTGCAGCCGCGCGCGTCGACGAGAACCGACAGGCGCAAGACAGTTGGGAGCAGCAGGAGAATCAAGAGTATGCTGCAGCGCCTGGGTGTGGCAAGGAGGATTCCCCCCCCCCCTCCTCCTCCTCCCTCCTCCTCCTCCTCCTCCTCCTCCTCCCTCCTCCTCCTCTCCCTCCTCCTCCCTCCCTCCTCCTCCCTCCTCCTCCTCCTCCTCCTCCTCCTCCTCCTCCTCCTCCTATCTGGCGCTGCTCGGCCTCGCCTGCGCCCTCCTGTCTTCGAGGCGAGGTCGAGCGAGCACCGCGGATTTCCTCGGCCCCGCGCCGAGGGGGGGTAGGGGGAGGAGGGAGGGCTTCTTAGAAGCACCCTTGGTTCTTGGAAGTCGCAGGCCTCGTCTGTAGATGCAGGGCCAGCGCCTTCCAAGAAGCAGCCTCCTTGTAAGAAGCCTTCCCCCCTCCTCCAACCCCTCTTTGCGCGTCGCCCACAGTCGAGAGTCTAGAGGGGAAATACATAGGCACACGGGAAGAGATCGGAAGTGGAGGGGAAGACGAACATGAATCCTGGGATCTATGCCTACGTGTGCGCGCCACTGGGCCTCTTCTTAGAGAAGCCGGGAGCTCCTCGCCCAGGCGGTGGCGGCGGTGGTCACGATCGCGCGAGCTGTTGCCGCAGTCCGCCTGTGTGGAGGTGGGGGGCGCGTAGTGTGACCAGCTGGTGAAGCGGTGCCGGTTTTGGGCCAGGTGAGGGTAGCGGACACACATACAGACACATTCACACACAAGACACAACACACACAACACACACGACACACACACACACACAATACACACGACACACAAAACACAGTACACAACACAGACATGTATATATACACACATGTTTGCATATATATATATATATATATATATATGTATATGTATATGTATATATATATATATATATGTATCCGTAAAGTGTTCGCCCCCTGCCACGGGCCCCCTCTCTCGGATAATGGGCTATGCAATAGCTAAATCATGAGGCCTCGGCGCCGCCGTGAAGCAGCATCGACAAGAGAAATTGAAATTATGATGATATTGTTGAACTCAGTGTTGCATTTTGAACCTGCCTCCGCATGCTGTGCACTGAGGTTTCCCACATACTTTCGGACATGCGGCAAATCCCATAGGTTTTGACCCTTACTCTGCTGATCCGAGGGGTGCCGTTTTTCGACCCTGGCCCCGCCGATCTGCGTGAGGGGTGCCGCCGAATTTCAGGAACGTGGTACATCCCATAGGTTTTTCGACCCTGACCCCGCCGATCTGCGTGAGGGGTGCCACCGAATTTCAAACATGTGGCACATGCCATTTCTTTTTGGACTCTGACCCCGCCGATCTGCGTGAGGGGTGCCGCCGAATTGTTGAACTGTTACAAATCGCATTGTTTTTTCAACCCTGACCCCGCCGATCTGCGTGAGGGGTGCCGCCAAATTTCAGACATGTGGCACATCCAATGGGTTTTTCGAGCCTGACCCCGCCGATCTGCGTGAGGGGTGCCACCGAATTTCAGAAATATTGCACATCCCATTTGTTTTTCGACCCTGACACTGCCGATCTGCGTGAGGGGTACCACCGAATTTCAAAGCTGTTGCAAATCTAATGGGTTTTTGGACTCTGACCCCGCCGATCTGCGTGAGGGGTGCCGCCGAATTTCAAGCATGTGGCAAATCCCATGGGGTTTTCGATCCTGACCCCGCCGATCCGCTTGAAGGGTGCCGCCGGATTTCAAAGCAGATGTGGCACATCCCCGTTTTTTCGACCCTGACCCCGCCGATCTGCGTGAGGGGTGTCAAGTTCGACCCCCCCAGAAATTCTGAGACTCCTCCCGGGAGGTGCTAACCAGGTTGCTTTTCAACTCCCTCCCCTCGCGCGGTCTACAACAAGGAACAGTAAGCAGTACCGTAACAGTGGAAACTGAAAACTGGCACTGGCGCAGGGAACAGCAAACCCTGAGCCTACAGCCTGGTGGCCTCACAAGGGGGCCGGCGGATATGTATACACACACATTTTATATATATAATCATACACATGCATACATACAAATATGTATATACCTATATGCGCATACACACATATATATATACAATGATGGTGTACACTTATGTTTGTACGTACTGATATTCATGATCGTTTCGTATGTGTCATAGTCAAGATCATGCAGATAATCATAATGCCTGTACATGAACACACATCTAGTTGTTTTGGTTTTACCTCTCGCGCTCTCTCTCTCTATTTTTTGTATCTTGGATCTGGATATGTATATATTTATGTATATATATATACACGTTGAGAGAGAGTGAGAGAGAGAGAGAGAGAGAGAGAGAGAATGAGAGAGTGTTGGATGGATGGAGGGAGTGAGAGGGAGAGAACGTGCGAGGAGGCAGAGGGAAACGGGCACATGCTTTTTTGTTCGTTGCTGCGCCCGGGCGCACTCCTGGCGCAGGACCCGCCAGGGTAGTCTCTGGGCTCCTGCTCTGGCCTGTCTTGGTGCCCTTCTGGCTCCGACTGGCTCTAGCTCTTGCCCGTCTTCTGGCCCCTCCTCCTCCTCTTCGGGCCTCCTCGGTTGCCAGTCCTTCCCCGTCTGGCTTTCACGCCTCCCCGGTACCTCTCCTCTCGCCCCTCCTGCCCTTGAGTCTCCACTCGCCGCCTGTCCTGCAGCCCCTGCGCTTCAGGTGCACAGAGAGCCATCTTGGCTCCGCAGGCGTGCACGCGCGCTGCAGCTTCGCTCTCTTGCGGAGGAGGCGGAGGATACGGAAGACGAGGATGGGACGAGGAGGTGGAGGAGGAACAGCAGGAAGAGGAGGCGGAGGAGGAGGAGGAGGAGGAACAGGCTAGGCAGGAGGAGAAGAGGGCGATGATTATGCCGAGGACGAGGAGGAGGAGGAGGAGGAGCATGATAGCCAGTAGTTAGAGTGGAACAAGGAGCAGGAGGTGGAGGAGGAGGAGGACGAAGACGCGAGGGAGGATCAGCAGCGGCAGCAGGAAGCAGCAGGAGGCAGGATGGGGAAAGGGGAAAGGGGGAGGAGGAGGGGGGGGGGAGGAGGGGGGAGGAGGAGGAGGGGGAGGAGGGGGAAAGGGGAATGGGGGAGGAGGAGGGGGAGGAGGAGGAGGCAGGATGGGGACGGGGAGGAGGAGGAGGAGGAGGAGGGGGGGGGGGAGAAGGAGGCCCCGCCCGCCCATGGGGGATGACCCGAGCGACTTCGGCACCTGCGGGGGCAAGCGCCGAACGGCGAACCCAGACGCCGCCAGGGACGCCCTCGAGCGCCTCGCGGCGGTCACGGCCGCGGCCGTGGAGCGGGGCGCCGCGGAGGCCCGCGAGCGCGTCGCGGCGGCGGCCTCGGGCCCCGCAGAACCCGGCGAGGTGTGCGCAGGGTCGTCGAAGAGCGCATAGAGGGAGGGGGAGGGAGGGGGGCGAGGAGGAGGAGGAGGAGACGAGAAGGAGGACAAGGAGCAGGAGGAGGGGGAGGAGGAGGAGGGGGAGGAGGAGGAGGAGGAGGAGGACAAGGAGCTGGAGGAGGAGGAGGAGGAGGAGGAGGAGGAGGAGGAGGAGGAGGAGGAGGAGGAGGAGGAGGAGGGAGGGACGAGGGACGAGGGCCTCGCCCCCTGCTCCTGCCTGGTGGGCCGCCTCTGTCCTTCTCCTTTCTTTCGGAGGTTGGTAGACCTCCTACCTCTGACACGTCGATTCGCGAATTGGCCGTTTTCGGTTCGCGACGGGGCAGCGCGGCCGTCGTTTTTGCGGGTCCAGGTCCGTCGGTGTCGGTCCCAGGCCGTTTTCACTAAGGGGAGGTTTGCTAAAGGGAGGTTTGTCCACCGCCGAATGTGGGGGGCAGACGGCAAACATTTATGGCTATGCTGTTTTCTCGTCTACAATCGGGGGGAGAAGCACCGACCTATTGGGGGACCGTAAGGCTCGGTTGTGCCAGAACTCGGGTTTGCCAACGCTGTGGCGGGCCCATCCTGGGCTTTGACGGTCCAGGTCTCGAGGGAAGTTTGCAGCGAGCGCTCGCGTCAAATCGCAGCCTGGGTCGCGCCATTCTCTGGCCGGCCTCGCCCTGCCCACCCGAGTCTCCCGAGCCCGAAGCTGACGGCTCCCCGAGCCTAGAGTTTTCGATGCACCATCGATAGATCAGCGACGGGTCGCTGATAGCGAAACCGCACGGTTTTGGGCGGGGTGGTCCATCGGGACCCTGTCCGCGATCAAGGGGCGATCAGGGGGGACGACGAATCCCCCACTGGGCCCATCCCCCCCGAACGTTGCCCCCTGTCATGCAACAAACCTCGGTCCGCAAACCTGCGCCCCGCCTCTCTCATGATCCGGGAGGGAACTGAGGCTGCATAAGCATAACCTTTCGGAGGTCCGCGTGGATTTCCTGGATCTGCGCTGGGGCCCCCTGGCGGCGCCCCCGGTGCCGCCCCTGCCGCGCTCAGCGCCGATCCAAGAAATCCGCGCGGTCTTTCGAGAGTTCTGTTCGCGCGAATTATCTTCGTCTAAAATGAATTTGGAGAGGGATAACGCACACACGCAGTTGCAAATAATCGCCGATTCCCATGAACATGTGGGAAACTATGGGAAGGGGGTTTAGACGACAACCTACAACACAAGGGAACATGCTGGGAATCCTGGGATTTGTGTTTGCTTACTTTGTGTGTCCCTGGCCCCTTGAGAGAAGCAGGGCGCAGGTTAGAAGATCCGGCGTCGTGCGTGTTTTTCTGCCTCTTGCGGTGCTCCCGTCGCCGCGGGCGAACTGACTGCCGTTTCTTTCTGTCGGGGCCTGCCGCTGGAGAGGCCTGGGGATTCCAGAACTCCCAGGTCCGAGGACGGAGGTTTTTGGACGCCATGGGGCCCCTGAGATTCCCTGGCATCGCTTGGACGTGTGCATTTTTTTCTCGGCGAGAACCATCGAGGACCGTCCTCGACCAACGAGCAAAAACAAACACGCACGAAACCGACAAATGCACGGGAAATGGACGTCCGAGCGACGGCGAGATCCTGGCGCTTTAACTTTTTCGAGGCGGGCGTTGCTTTCTGTTGGGGGGGGGCCCGGGGACCCTCACAGATCGATCTGGCTCGACACGTGACGCGGAGAGGTGGTGTCCATGGCTCCGGGCGTGATTCTTGACGATGTTGCAGTTTCTGTCGCTGCGTCGGATCTCAGGGCAGGGGTGCACGCAGCCGGGGTCAGCGCTAACGGGGGTCAGCCAGTCCTCGCAGGCCTAGAGGTTGACACCAACACCAGTATCAGCGGTGTGCCTCCACCGGAAGACGATCCCGATCTCGGTGATGGCGGTCATGTTCTGGCTTCCAAGGTGACCGAACTATTGCCACCGACGCCGAAGTCTAGGATCATCTTCCCCCTGTGGAGGCAACCCCCTGTGTTCGTGTCGGTGCCCACTTCCAGGCCTCCAAACTCCTCCCTGATCCCCGCTGGCCAGCCAGGGCTTGGGAGCCACGTGGCGTCCCCGTCCACGCGCGCTGCCGACCCCGGCCTGGGAGTCTACCTTGCGGCCGGCTGTGGCCCACGACGTGGCCTTGGTTGAGTCGGGTTCGCGCTGACCAGGATTCAGCGCGTCCCCAAGACACGACAAGGAGGAGGAGGAGGAGGAAGAGGAGGAGGAGGAGGAGGAGGAGGAGGAGGAGGAGGAGGAGATTCTGGAGATTCTGCATAATCGCGTAGCGATGGTATGAAATTAAAAGTCCGCCACCCTCCGTGGGGTGCGTTGGTCTCTGGCTTCGCGCTCAGCTCGACTGAGGGCCTTAGGCCAGATACCCTTGGCAATTCTCCGCAGGTATGTGATGCCTGTCGGTGTCGGGGTCTCGCACCGACCCCCGAGTTTCCCGAGAAGTTGGTTAGCGTAGGACCCGCAGACGGAACAAAACCAAAGATTCAGCCCAGCGTGGAACCTTAAAGTGTGAGTCGAATCAACATATCCCCCTGCGACGTGTACCTGTTTCCCGAGAGGAGCCATCATATATGTGCCATCGACATTACACACATCGAAGCATTCAGTGAGCATCCACTGGGCCCTGGAGGCTTGTGTGGTAGTGGTCCTACAACGGGTGCACTTAGGTCCACAAGGGGCTAAAGAGTGCTGGGACTGAAACAGGGCACAAATGCGGGGGGCGGGTGGCTGCTGTGGAGCCACCCCTCTCTGCCTCTTTTGGCGAAATTCCCCAGAAGACTGGTCGTTATTCCTAGCATGCTCTAGCGCTTCCAAGGATGTGCGAAGCAATCTCATGCGGACAAGAAATGCCTTTTGCTCAATCAATAGATATTGCTGTCTGTCGGTAGCTGGGACTCTGGCTGCCTGTGCTGCAGCTCCTGCGACCTCGTCCGCGACTGTGTTGCCATAGGCGAGCGTGGCGGGTATCTTGCCCTGGTAGATGTCGTGAGCACTCATGTGCGAGGGAATCCATAGAATGGTGAGAGAACCGCTGCGTGATGAAATATTGCGTCCTAGCCGAGCCCACAGGTCCGCGTCAGGTCCGACTGGGTTGTCCGTGTGTCCGTTGTGGTAGTTGTTGTAGCATCCTTCGCTGTCAGTGAAGTAGACAAGGTCGTCGGTAACGCTCTCGGCGGCCACTACAAGGGCCATAAGTTCACCACGGATGACGGTCTGGCGACTGCCCGTGAGTGGCCCCCAAGTGGCGCCCCGTAGTGGCATGTCGCTCTTGTTGAGGTCGGCGAAAAAGGCGACGCCTATGCCTATCCTCCTCAGGGGGGTGACAGCAGTATCGGGGCCACCACTGGCGTCGCCGAGTGCGTAGGTCGGATGTCCTCCTACGTGATTCATGCATCCTTCTTCGTGGTGGTTGCAGTTGACATGTTCCCATTGGTCGTGCTGTGGTGGTGGTGGAAGTGTTGTCCACTGTGTAGGTAGTAGGCCTCGCGTCCAGAAGCACTCGAACATGTCTCGTTGGGAAGCAGCCTCTGCACACAAGGTGTTGGAGGCGCGTATGATGTTGTTGGTACTGTTGCCCTCGCACTCCCAGCAACGGTGGTAGTCGTCCTCGTCGCTGGTGCCACAGCGTAGGCATGTAGTGGGTATGTTGGTGGATGTTTCGGTGGCGACTCTGGTGCGTGTCCACATGGCGCCCACTGCGATGGTAAGCATGAGGCTTGCTAGACGTGCGCCGTCTGCAAGACTCTCGAGGTACCGAAGGAGCCTGCGGTAGGAGTAGTTGTCGATCCCCTGCTGCATGCCTTCTCCTCCGTGGTGGGTGCTGGCGCGCTGCCATTGTTGGTGCTGAATGCTGGTGTCGAGGTCGTGCAACAATTGATGTGGGATGTCGGCGTCGGGGTGTCCCGTGAGCTGCTGGGCGTCAAACTCCCAGGTGTCTCCGCAGTCGGAGAGTGCTGGTGGGAGGCGCCATTTGTTGGGCTCGAGGGGCTCCCAGTCATGCTGCATGAGGTAGTGGATGATGGTAGACTGTGGTCCTCGTATGTGACGTACTCGTACGTGTGGCGGCATGTTCTTGAAATTGGAGGCGACGGTCTTCCAGGTAGCTTGGATGGCACGTCGGAGAGGGCCTCCTTGTATCCAGGTAGTGAGCCATGCCTTGAGTGCATCGTGTGGCAGTTTGCGAGCTGGGTCGTGGCCGCGTAGGTCGAGGAGGGTAGTGAGGCACCTCCCACGTAAGCGAGGTCCCACTGCATCGCCGACGCGTCTGCGGTAGGTGGTCATAGTCGTGCCGAATGCGCCATGGACTTGGTGTCCGTAGGTGGCCGCGGCCATCCTTCCTTGTGCGGCGAGCTTAGATGAGATACGGTACCTGCGTGTCGCTCGTGTGAAGCGAAGTATCTTCTTGTGCATGGCGTCGTGCTTGCGGCGTCGTTGAGTGGTGGTGCGTCGTGCGTGTCGTATGCCGCAACCAAGGTCAATGCCGAGGTAGCTGGCCTGGGTGTTGGCGCGGATGGGAAAACCCTTCCTCCTCATGGCGTTCGCGATATACCTGGCGTCGTCGTGGTGTGTGCAGACGATGGCGCTCTTCTTAGCAACGGCCAGGCCCTGGTCCTGGAGCGCGGTGCAAGTGTCGGCGAGGCAGGCCACCATGCGGCGTCGTAGTGCTCGTCGGCTGGCTTGGAAGCGCTGTGACAGGTCGTCGACCCAGATGCGATGCTGGAGGTCGGGGTAGTGTAGGGTGATGCGTTGAAGTGCCTTGCACGTCATGATCTTGGCGAATCGTGTGCCAGAACGTAGTCCCTGTACGATGGAACGTGTGGGGTGGAGTGCTTCCGCATACGCGCCGTTCTGCATGAGCGTGCGGGGAGCGGTGCACTGCGAGATCTCGGGTCCGAGAACTTCTGGTGGGAAGTTGAGGTCGAGCGCGTCGTCGATGAGGGTGACCCAGTGGATGGAGTC